GATTGTTTTAATGGGTTTCATGAAATAAATCATATGTAGTTTCGACCATTTTCTTTTATCACTTTTGGTTACAAATGTGTAAAAGCATTTACTCATTACATCAATTAGGTACATACAATTTCGTGTCATTTAGATTATTTTGTTCATTATCTCTTTCATGGAAAATATTGCCCAATCACGAGTTTGTGACTTAATACCTCCTCTTTTACCGTCCTCTATGTTTTATTAAGAACGATCCAAAAGTTTGCGGTTTTTGCCACCCCGAATAGTATACTAACCCTCCGCATAAAGTTGTATCGTACAGCCACAACTCGGGTCAAGCTTTTTACTACATTTTAGTAGAAAAAACGTAAAGGGCAATGGACGCAATCTCCACATGCTGACTTTATAGAATTACGTTTTTTGGACGAACGTCCAACCATCTGTAGGCTGTAGTCCAATTCAATTTACAACCGATGTTGATAAAGTTTAGAGTACTTTCCCGTAAAAATGAAAGAGGAGATCATGCATGTTACATCACTGAGTAGGCACACTTTATTTGTGTTCTGCGATTTTTGTAAAAAATATTTCTACTGAGTTTATTTTTAGACCACAGCAAGGTAGACTCAAATGCAAACACATTTCACGTCCACAATACATGCTATTCATGAACAGAGTGAGTAGGTACTCTAAGAAAGCTTAAAGGCAAGTATGGATTACTTCTATTCAGATATATACGGTTTAAAAGCATTTAGCTCTTTGCTAAACAAAAAACACAATTGATTTTTTATAAGATAATGCTGTTTGTAATTAAATAGCAAAGTGTTTCTTCTAGTTTGAACATCATACCTACACAAAAAATCTGTATGTACATTTTACAAAAATGAAGTGAATGAAACTATTTTCCAAAGATTAATAAGATGAGTTAGTAAACTTATGTTTTGGCCTGTACCCACAATATGTTCTGAACCGGTGTTCACACATGTATATCGCCGAGTCTGCGATAACCGCAAGGCGTAATCTACTTGCAGTTCCAAGTACAAGCTCTTGGAGTAAACTGCTTCAATACACCACCGTAAGTACCGCTCAAGTTTAGCCTCTTAAGGCAACTAAGTCAGAGTAGACGTACCTACTTGTGTCGGCTCGGGGTGTATGGTTAGCTACTGTTCGTGTGCTGTTGTAAATAGACTAAATAGTATAGACTAAATTAGTCAATGATTGTCACCTATTTTTTTATGGCATAAGCCGGTAAACGAGCAGACAGATCACCTGATGGAAAGCAATCGGCGTCGCCCATGGAACACCAGAAGCGTTACAAGTGCGTTACCGGCCATTTGGGGATTAGGAGTTTGAGGATTGTTGGGGATTCAGGGATTGGGGAGATTGGGGAGATTGGGGAAGGAGAGGGTAATTGCGCCTCCGGTAACCTCACTCACACGACGAAACACAACGCAAGCGTTGCTTCACGTCGGTTTTCTGTGGGGCCGTGGTATCACTCTGGTCGAGCCGGCCCATTCGTGCCGAAGTATGGCTCTCCCACACTTTTAAGGAACTTGATCAGTCAGTTTTTGCTCATCATTGATATAACCTCGTTATTTCGCTATTTCTAGATTTTATATTTTACTTTACATGCAGTTATATGTTAAAACTTCAGTGTTGAAGTGGATTAATATTCTGATTATTAGGACCTACGTACACAAATAATATCTATTACTTACATAATATTTACAAGCAAAAAGTATATTCAGTAAATGACTTGTCGGGTGACAGATCCCCAATATTTTTCTTATGGATTGTCTTAAAATTAATTTTGTTAATGCCAGTCATGTAGAGGGTACAGAAACTAATTTGGCGAATGTCACAGAAAAATTGGCACCAAATTGTTGTAGGCGTTGTAGACTTCGTAACAAATAGATGTTTATAGTGACTGTCTCGTTAGAATCGAGGGACAAGACAGCGTGTCAAACATTTCATCGTGTGTTCTTGAACGGCACTTAGCAGAAATTAAAAGTATACTTGAATTTGACCTTGTTCGCAAAGAGAACCATCTTCAGTGATATATTAGTTTGGTCTTTGTAATCTAAGAAATTAAGGGTCTTGTCATTTTCTTTTTATACTATGTATATTATATGTATTTATAGATAATCCTATAGTATTACCCCACACTGGAATTTTTTCCTGTGTTCTGGGTGCGTTTACAAAGATTCATATTCACAAACACATCATACCCAAACACACCATACTGTAAACCATGAGAACAAATAGATACATCGTCATCATTTATAGCTTGAACCTTATTTAACAAAATTATATTTATTGTTACTTATTTCTCTCAATTTCTGTTAGATACGACTAAAAGCTTTCATTAGGCGATGGAAATTGAACTTAAAGAAAACAGCAGTCTTTACACACGTAGATTCGTTAGCTTGTAAAGCTAGACGCTAAACGTGACGAAATAAAACCCCAAACAGCAGCGGCAATTAGCTATAACTATATTTATGGTGGTTCACGTGTTCACTATGTGAAAGAATATTTATAAACAAATTATATTTATAAAAAAGCGTGTATGTATTCATCATAGGTTAGTAAATAATGATATTTTTGAAATTGCCCATTTTCCTTTACACTCTACTTATAATCAAGTTATTAATTTATTTTTGAAAATTTATGTTGAATATCTCAGAAACTAGCCACTTTAGGACCTTAGGACTAATTTTGTAGGAAATTAGCTGTATTATCACCTCCCGAGAAAAATACGTCGAGTTACAAGTCACCCTGTATATTATTTTCAGCAGATATGTTGAGATGTTGAAATAACGTTTTAAAAAGTAGCTCAACTTTTCTGGCGTGGCGTCGACTTTCACACAAATTATACTTTGCTATTTACACCGAGGACTCAACCTCTCAAACATTTGCCCTTGGGTTCACCATATTTGTTTCGTGTGAATTTTGTAAACAATCTAATATGAAACGTTTATAATATATGAAAAATGTTATAGAAGGACTTACATATAATATTATTATCATCATCATCATCATA